TGAGAATATTCCCGTTATGGGACTTAGTGAGAAATACTATAATAATTTCTTTATCAAACGTATGAAAAGCCGCTCCAGTGTGCATATCAGTTTTCGAGCCATCGGTGTAAACCAGTCGATGACTCTTATACTTCGAGTTGATGAGATCGCCACATGAGCATTTTGTGTACCCCAGAAGCAAACTACCTTTACCAAAAATAAATTAATTGTAAATATATAAACAGTTATTATTTACATCCACAAAACTCACCTTCTTAACAGCACTTAAGGGACATAAAGAGCCATTATTACCGCTTTCTCTTTCAACATATTCTAATAAAGATGCGATTAGTTTTTTACGGCTACTAAGCTATCTTGTACACTTCGCACTAATAGAGGTTCTAAAAAGTACAATGTTCGACTGCAAGGTCTGCTAGTAAACATTTTTAAGCTTAAAGTATCACAACACTATTTATTTAAACCAAAAACTCATAATAAACAACTAAATGATTAAAATGAATGTCAATGTCAGGAAATAAATAAATAAATGCAGTAACTTGACATTTTTTACAGCAGAGCTGCCAACTAAATCTCCAGCGGGAAACTTATATTTCACTTAGTCAGCACGGCGCCGAATATGTCCATGGTTGCCAACAATTATTAATTTAAAAATCGCACCTTCAATTCATCGATCAGGGGTGCAACTTTGTTCAAGTTAGAAACCGATCGTTTAGAAGTGATGTCGAAACCAGATCGGTACTATGTACATTGCAAAACTATTGTCGCTCAAATGCTGCGAAATATGGTATCACTATCACACTCATGCACACGTGTCTAGACTGTCGCCTCGCCACAAAGCGAAAAATCAGAATATCGCTACGAATCGATGTTGCTACTGAACATAGTGCATAAAGCTACAAATTACTTTGCTATCGCTTTGAAACATGAACAAAGTTGCACCCCAGGGCTTCGCCGATTTTCTATGTGTGTGGATGGAGAAGTCGGAGTTCGGCGACGAGAACAAGCGACTATGTTGTTGCTATCAGAGCCCGCATGTGTGGATGGAAAGGCTAAGTCCCATCACGAGCGCCCGGTAGTTGACGAGCGCTCGGAGTTCGCTAAATGCCGCATGTGCGGTTGCGGCATAATATAGATGAACAATCCGACTAAAAAAAAGACGCACAAACAATTTTAGCCTTGGCTATTATTAAAATATTTCAGTAACATTACGTTGTGGGTTGAAACCTTTGGACAAACTACAACAAGCAAAACAAATCACCACAATACAACAATACACTTCTACTTTTGCACTGGACGCGCGTTTCGCTAACCATGTTAGCATCATCAGCAGATGATTAAAACTAAAATAATATTTACAAATTGAGCGTTTATATGTTCGATCAGTTGGCTCCGAGTAAGCGTGACAGAAACTAGCCAAGCGAGTCAGGACCAACCGAGCGTAACAATTTATTACCGAAACTAGAGCAGTAGGAACAAAGAACTGGAAGGAATTGGGCCATTGTCTCCGTTCATATTATCTTTACATTTATTCATTTTGACGTTCTCATATGCATCTAAAATGGTTGGTGGGCCGACCAAATCTTTGGTGGACCGACCAAACGAGAGATGGGTCAATGCCGTTAGAACAGTGACAGGAAGATAATGGATGAATTTGGCTAGAGATTGCATAGAAAGGAAAAACCAAGAAGAGTCAAATATCCAACACTGGATGGAAGCAAGCTGAAGAAGAAAATTGACAACCAAATGAACAAAATAATATTAGCTAACTATTTCAATAATTTTAGATTTCATTCTTTTATTATACAATAATTAAGAGAGCCTCTAAAATAAAAAAAATCTCATTAATTTGTTAAAGTTTAATACAATGATGCAACTCCCGAGAGGATCGTATTTCGTAATTTCCATTAATTTTTTGTAGAGCGTATAATAAAACCATTTTGTTTTTAGGCAACATAAACAATTTGCGGATGGTATAGTCTGAACAAATAATAGAATGGCGACCGTGTAGCCAGCTCGTTTTCCATTAATTGAATTTTGGATTATTATTCGAGCTTCCTCTGTAAAAAGCGGTCATTTTTAAACAATTACTATAGTGTGGTGTTGTTTTTATTTTGCCGTACAATGAAACCAATTTCAGTTACATTACAAACTATTAAAGCGCAGTGAAAAAAACAATAGAATCAGGTGTTTTGGGTTCATTTAAAAATGTTTACAAAATAAAACAACAATTTTATACAGCTCTTTAGTCTGATCTTGTATATAAGCCATCATTTTATGATTTAGATCAGTGGACAGAGATACATTTGTCCGAAACTTTGTGTTATTTTTTAAAACTAAAAACAATGTCAGTTTAAGGAGATACCTTAATAGATAATAGTAATTTTTGTATCTAGTGCGCAAAGTGCTACTTTGGTGATCGATACCTGAATTTTTTAAAGAGGCGTAGCCTAGTTCGAAAATTAGTCGAGATCACCAAAGTAGTCCGCGCACGAGTTGCAAACAACATTTTTTCTACAAACATTAAAATCGGGATATCCGTAATTTTTTTTTTAAAATCGCCTTTCAGGGTTCTTGGAGAGATAGCCGGGTTATTAACCAAGGCAGTCTTTAGTTCGCGTAAAGGAACGATCTGACTATGCGTGCAGTTCCCAGAATTACAGCTTTTTGAGCGACGGATAAAACATTTGGCGATAGTCCCAAATCTTTAGTATGTCGCACAGTTTGCTGATGTATTAAGCCATTGACGGATATCACTAGAGGTAAGATTTTTGTTTGTTTTAATTTGTATAACTGTCTAAGTTCATATGCCAGTTCTTCGTATTTTTGTTTCTGTTCTAGGTATGCTTTTTGGACGTTTTGGTCTAATGGTGTTATAAAATCTATTATTGTGGCTTCCTCCTCTTTCTTCTTAAAAAGCACCATATCAGGGCGATTATGCTGGACAGATCGGTCTGTAATAATTGTGACGTTCCAGTATAATTTATATTCAGCATTCTCCAGAATATCCTTTGGGTTATACCCGTACCATTCTATTCCTTCCTCCATTAGCCCACTTCCCAGTGCTATAGCTTGATGGTATATTTTTCCCATTTTATCATGGCGTGCCAGATACTGCCTTGGAGCTAAAATAGAACACCCTGCTGTTATATGTTGGATGCTCTCAGCTGTACGCTTGCATTTCCTACACAGATCACTTTCAACTCTCTCCTTCAAGACATATTTCCTATAGTTCAGTGTCGGGACAACTTGATCTTGTATTGCCAGTATACTTCCTTCGATTTCTGGGAACAGGTAACCCGCTTTTAGGTAAGTATTTGAATCCAGCATACTAATTGTGGTATTTTTTAAATTTGCTCTATACCTGCCATAGAGAGTTTTACTGGCCCACTCTTCGTCCATTTCCGTCCAATTTCGTAGAGTTGTGCTGTTGGAGTTCATCAAGTCAAGAGGGGAATAGTTTTGGTCAATATCTCGGAGGGTACGGTGAAGCGGTAAGTTGTTACTCAAGAAGTAGTTCGTCAGTTTCTGAACTTGTGTATTGTGGCAATTTTCTACATTTAGAAGGCCTCTTCCGCCTCTTGACCTTGGTATATATACGCGGTTCACACTGGACTTTGGGAGGTGGTATCGATATTTTGTTAACAGAGTCCTGATTTTTGTGTCAATACCCCTCAGGTCTGTTGGGGTCCATTTCAAAACACCAAATGAGTACACAATACTAGGTATAGCCCAGGTGTTTAGTACCGTAAATAAATTCTTTGATGTGAGTTTAGATGCCAGTATGATTCTGACACGTCTTATCAGTTCGTTCTTAAACTGTTCCTTGGTATCCTTTTGGCTGATACCCAGTGATTGGTGAAAACCGAGATATTTATACCCTTCCTCCTGTTTTTTTTTCGTAAAAATTATTATTATTATATTATTGCTTCGAAAAAAATGCGTGAGTTTGGAATGCATGTTTTTTTATTACCGAACATCGTCATCGATTTCCTTTTAGGTCGTTTTAATACTTGGTATTTCTGGTGCTTGCCGCCGTGAGGAACTTACTAAAATGATGGTCGATAAAATAAAAGATAAAGATTCAATTTTGATTGTTAAAGTACCCGATACAAAAACAAACCGACCGAGTCTTTACATTGTCAAATTTGAATTATATTGAGATATACCGAAAATACGCAGCCCTTCGTCCAAGAAATGCTACCAGTGGCAGATTGTTTTTAAAATATTAAAATAAAAGATGTGTTGACCAAGTGGTCGCCATAAATTCTATTGGCAAGATGCCTAGCATGATAGCAAAACACTTGAAACTGCCAGATTATGAGGCCTACACTGGGCATTGTTTCCGGAGAACTTCAGCCACACTCCTTGCTAATGCAGGGGTGATATATTTAGTTTGGAGCGCCACGGAGGATGGAAATCTTCGACAGTGGCCGAGGGATACGTCGAGGATCAACAATAAAATTCAAATAATATCGAATAAAATTTTAGAGTGTCAAATACCGGGATCAAGTACTTCCATATCAAATTGGATAGTGTCTCAAGTCCAAAAAACCCCCATATCTCAAGCAAAATCAAAACTATCTAGTTTGGAATTAAATATTGGTTCGTATACTGGTTGTACTATTAATGTTAATATTGTAAATAATGACTAGAATATGCGTTAGTGTTAAGTTTGATATTTGTTATTTGTTTATTCTTGAATATTTCGAAATAACTAATTAGTTATGGTTTAGATTCCAAAAATGAAAATTCCAAAATCCCATATAATTTACATGCAGTGTGCGAAATAGGTATTTCGCGCATTACTTCGCGCACCGTGTCATTGTAACGTAAAAAAATGAAAAAAAGTGTCACTTCGCACATTGTTATCAATTCGCAAACCTTGTCATTTTTTGACGTTTGTAGAAATAATATATAAAATTTTATGCTATATTCTTGCTAAGCATACTAGGAAATGTTTGTTTTTTATTCCTGAACTATATTTCACTAATTTTACTCACCTGAACGTCTTCTCCGTTGAAGGCAAAGTACGCTTCAGCCTTGACGACTCCTAATAGCAAGTCGTACCGGCTCAATTTGGATATGACTGATTTTCGAAGAAGTACGCTGTTGAGTATATTAACAGCATTCTGGATTTCTTGTTTAGTTCCAGTTTTACCCCCTGGATTGGATCCTGGACTATCATAATCGGTGTAGTGAGGATTTTCGCCACCTAAAATAAAATGGATTGTGGGTATACTTCTTTTTAAGTTGGATAAATTGGTATTGAAATATAAAACCGGGAATATCTGCAATTCCATTAAACATTTTCGAAATGCTCTAAATATAAAAATTTTTTATTTTTTAATTCTCCACCTTATTAAAGAATAATATACCGGGCGTTCAATTAAAAAAAAAAAGGTGTATTTTAGAAAGTTTGGCGTGGGATTTTGAACATCTTGTATAATTTAAGATTACAATATTAAAAGTAAAGTAAGTAGAGTAGAGACCATCTGCTATAGTTAGACCAATCATCACTTATGGAGCACTAGTATGGTGGGAAGCGGTACTTAAAGAGACTAATAGAAAAAGTCTCACAAAAGTACAGCGATTAGCAGCTCTAGGTACAACTGGAGCAAGGAACAACACAGCGCAAGCTGCGCTAGAAGCAATTCTGGACTTGCAATCAATTGACTGGCTCGTGAAGGATCTGGCCGCTAAGGGTGCCCTAAGATTAAAGAAATCCAATCTGTGGAACCAGACCAACTACGGTCATTCGAGGATATTGCCAGTGATAGGGAAAATCATGGTGAACACGAGTCCACATCTGATAGAGCAGAAAACGGACTATATGCTCACCAAACATGATTTTGGAGAAAAGATAAGGATTCGCATCCCGACAAGAGAAGAATGGAAAAGCAACCGAGTAATGAACACTCAAGAGATAGCAGTCTACACAGATGCTTCCGCAAATTCAGGGGGCACAGGTATAGGCATCTTCTCAGAGAAACTAGACATTCGACGATCTTTGAGGCTATCGGATGGCTCTAATGTTCTACAAGCCGAGGTTTACGCCATTAAGGAAGCGGCTAGATGTATACGAGAGAAAATTGCTGGTAGACCAATAGGGGATATAGTGATATACTCTGACAGCTTGGTCGCTTTAAGAAGCATCACCATGCAATCAGTGAGATCGAAAACTGTGATGGAATGCCGAGAAGCACTGTCCTGGCTGCGTCAAGGCGAGGCTACTCTGTGCTGGGTGCTAGGCCACAGCAATGTGGTGGGCAATCAGGAAGCAGACAGACTCGCCAAAGACGGGGCCAGGGGAGAGGCCGTGGCAGATGATCCACCACTTGTGACAAGCAACATGCTGAAGGAGGCTATAGGAACTGCCATCAAAGCCAAGCAGCAAGAGACGTGGCAACACCGTGAGGACTGCTCTACAGCTCGAAGACTATGGCCAGTGGTAGATAACAAAAAGACAAAACAACTACTAGAGCACAAAAAGGACCTAGTACGCATAATTGTAGGTGTCGTCACTGGAAACTGTCCCACGGGGGTAAACCTCGTAAGATTGAAAGTTTCCGACGACGACTGCAGAGAACGAGGAGAGGAAGAAGAAACTATAGAGCACCTGCGGTGCCACTGTCCGGCACTGGAATACCGACGCTTTAAAACTTTAGGGTAAGGTATTTTGGAGGGACTAGAAGAAGCAGCAGAAGCCAACATCAGCGACATCGGGAACTTTGCAAAGAGCTGGAAGTGCTTTAACGCAAAGAAAGAATGAGAGGAATGTTTGGTAAAACAATACAGGTGTATCGCAATGGGCCCAAGGCCTCCGAGTGAGGGATCAAATATGATCCCAAACCCCAGCAACCTAACCTAACCTAACCTAAGTAGAGACCATCTAAAATAAATACCTAATATAGTTTTAATTTCAGTACCTACTGGTGCTTGTATTTTTAATATTTTTTAAAAAGGCTGAAACATATTTAATCATACCTTAGGATTATGTAAAGCGATCTGAAAGGAAGCAAAAAATGCAATAATATACGGAGTGTTCCATTAAAAAAATAGATTGAGTGGATCGGTTTGTTTTTGAGTTGTGTCACCCTTTTTTGAGCCACCTTGTAGAAATTAAAATATTTTCCTGATATGAATCCTAGCACATACTTGAGATATGCACTTAATCAATATTCCCAAGTTTTTTTTTATTCTAGGAGCTTACAGATGCCCGACGGACTATTGCCGAACTTTATACAGGGTGAGTGTTAAATAAGTGCAAATATTTTCAGGGAGAAAAAGAAACATATTTTCTCTTTACCGTTTTTCAAATAAGACCAAAATAATCGAGTTATTTTACTTTGAAAATGTCCAAAAAAAGAAATAATTTTTTGCTTAAATTTTGAAACCCTTCTTTCTTGTAAATTTAATCTACTACTTCTGTTGCCATATTATCAAGAAATTATGTTTTTTAACTAAAAACTAAAAAAAAATCTGAAATTTTTTCCAAAAATTCTAAATATTCAATTTTTTTTTGCGAAAAAACCTCAAAGTTCAAGATTTCTGGGGTCGAAATATACTACCCTTAAAAATATTTGCACTTATTTAAGACTCACCCTGTATATTTAATTTTAAACTACATTTTAAGAAACCCACTTTTCGTAGTGGTTAGTGTATTCTTGATCAACAAACAAAGTTTTAAAAAGAAAAATATAAAGTACCTACCTAATTTTCTTGTATAAAATGAACGAGAGAAATAAATCGCAACAAGATTCACGAAAAGAGAAACAAAAAATTGCTCTACCATAGTAGAACCTGGACCAGACACACTTATTTTAATGTAAAGCATCTGCGACCGTTACTGCCACAGATTTAACATATCTTAATAACCGCAATTAGCGATATGGCGCCGCAAGTTCGTGGCGGTATTATCTCAAAGCTCCCCTCTGGCACATAATGGCGGATCAGCGGCCGCGCCATCATGCAGGTCCGCCCCGGCCAACTGAGATTAACTTCCATTCTGCATGTTGGCGACGTGCACACGCCGGCCAGAGATAGCTGGCGCACTGCCGTTCTTTAAAAGATCAGCCTGGGGGCGGACTTTTGTTTACTTCATCAGCTGTACATACTTAGATATTGGGTTAGATTCCGTTTCATATTTTGTCGGTTGATTTTTGGTTTTAACTCTATGATTTTTGGTATTATTTATTATTGTAGTGCAAAAAACTAATTATTTTGGTGTTTAAGTGACATAAACTACTACCAGATATATGGTCACTCTCGGTTTCGCATAAAAAAAATAGAAAAATTGAAAAATTACACGTTGTGTAAGTGATTTAACCTAAAAGTGCCCATACATTTTTTACTCATCGTGATTTTTGTGTGTGTTTTTTAAGACTCTAACAATTCATCAATAAAGCTTAAGTGGAGTGTGTTTTTGTGCTATGCCTCATCTTTGTTGTGTTCCTGGTGGAAAGGATAGTTATACTAGGCAGCCTAAAGTGTCCGGAAGAGCAAGAAAAATGGGTACGAGTTATAAATCAAGAGAATTCTATTGAAAATATCTTTAATAAATTTAAAAATAATATTCTCCCATGATAGTATTAATGAAAACTGGACAATTATGTTTATTTTATTCATATTGTGGAATCTCCATTCCAAGTGTTGTTGGTGCAGCTTTGATAGATTCAAACACGTAAGATAAACATGTCAGTAGGTATTATGATCTAGGGAAAAATAAAGAATATGTGTATTAAAGATCATGAAAAAGATTATTATTTTGAGTTCAAATTTTAAAAAAGATTTTTCTAAAGACAAGACTGATACAGTTTAAAAGAAGAATGTGTTTTTGTTTGATAATATATAATGTATGTCAAGCATAACATATATTTGTTCAGTAATTTTTAATGAATAGTGTTGATTATTTATAATACCAAATAAATATCAAATATTTTAAGTGATGGCTGAATACAATGTGAATAAAATAACAATAAAATTGGTATATTTGCATAATACAAAATTAAGTTTTAAGTATAAAGGTGTTACTAAAAATACTAAGAAATTCATATTTCTTTGTTTTAATTGGTCTAATGTTATTTACATTTTACGTAAGAATTATACCGTATCATCGAAAAAAATCGGCGTCTAGTTGGCTTGGAAATGAACATTGATGACATTCCCTAATAACTGTACACATAACTAGAATTTTACAATATTGGAAAAATTTGATATTCTTGAACCTTGTTTTAAATATTCTAAATTTTTGATTTTCTTGGGATTCTATGGTTCAGAAAAACGCTGATTAAGTTTTCATTTGGTTTTTCATTATTTTTATTTGGTTTAAAAAAAAAAACGTTTCGGCTAACATTATAGCCTTCATCAGTGTTGTGTCATATGAAAAAAATAGTGTCGAATATAGTCCAAATAATTACATATAAAATATTCACACCACACACATAATGTTTACTGCGTACTCCATAGAGAATGTAGATAATTTTAGTGTTAAGAATAATGATTTTAAAAAATATGTGGTCATCTTTTGATAAGTTTATATTAGTTTATTAATTGCAGTAAACATTATGAGGTGTGAATTATATTGTATATGTAATTTTTTGGATTATATTCAACACTATTTTTCTCATATGACACAACACTGATGAAGGCTATAGTTAGCCGAAACGTTTTTTTAAACCAAATAAAAATAATGAAAACCCAAATGAAAACTTAAATCAGCGTTTTTCCCGAACCTAAAAATCCCAAGAAAATCAAAAATTTTAGAATAATTTTATTTTATAAAATGCCAGCGATCTTCATTTCATACCCATCGCTGACGCCTTTTTAGATAATATTGTATTATTTGTAAATATAATTTTTCGAACATTGATACTTGCAAAATATACATATAAATTTTGTGAATGCAAATAATAATACATCACTATTAGTAGATATTGAATGTTTTTTGTTAAATTAGATCGATTTTCAAACCCCAAAATTTAAAATATATTTACATTTTACCCATTATCTTATGTACCTATACATTATTTGTACATTGTAAAACATTTGCTGCATTTGTATGGTTCATAGTTTATTTGCCAAAGTATTTATTACTATAAATAGGTATATATGTTGTAGTTATTAACTGTATATTATGTATATTTCATGTAAACTATATCATTTTTAAAATACAAACCAAAAATCTGAGGAATAATTATGTTTTCCATGTATTCT